CAGAGACTATATATATATATATATATATATATATATATAATCTCCAAAGTAAAGTCTAGTTTTTAAATACATGATACGTAAGTAAAAAGTTTCATTTTTTAAATCACATTTTACTCATCTTACTAGTGATTTTTCTAGTTAATTTTAATTAAACACATATTATAGATGATTACCTCTTCTAATATTATTTTTAAAAACTATTATCTCTAATTATATAAAAAGCGTAGCTAAATTAAAACAATAAATTTAAAAAAATTACTGTTAAGTATTCAAGCTTTTGATCAAATTAAGCTTTAACTTTTATATACAGTTTTACATACAGAGTGCAATATCAAAAAAAACTGCACACCGAATAACTCTTGTTCTAAGGGCTGTAGAAAGTGGCGCAAATAGCAATAATCCCGCAAACCCCACGGTGCGGGGGGGGGGGCGCACAACCCAGAAAGGATACACTGTGATAGGTATGTAATACATTTTTTTATTTCCTTTTTAACCAAAATTCTAAAAATATACATTAACGGCGGCAGCCAGTACGGAACACCTTGTATATATAATAAAATGTTCTTTACCTGTTCCTATTCCATCAAACAGGGAGAGGACTCTTATTGGTCTTATTGGCGTATTTTTAAGAGGGTAACAAGTTTTGCCTGAAGCACTCGATTCGAACATAAAATGTAATTCTTCTTCCCAATTTTCTCTTTTCTCGAATGTTCCTGGAATTTTAGAACAAAAGAAGCACAGCCAAGGAGACGTTTCCAATATCTAAAAGAGAAACAAAAGCAATTTAATTTAAAAACCAGAATTACAGACCTATAACAGTTAAAGAGAATTTCAGGTTTATTATATTATATAAGTATAGAGAAAAGAAAAAATAAATAAACGCATGCCCAAAAAAAAGACTAAACTTGTGTTTTTATCTTGGAAACGCTAAAGAAATAATGGCATTAAAAATAAAAATTAATTTACCTTATAAAACGGAAGTGTTATACCCCCCCCCCCAAAGAAAAGAAATGCATAGATTATGTCAAGAAATGGCTGTATAATCCAGACTTTATTATTTTGTTACTACCATTGGCAATTAAATATATTTCATTAATAAATGTGTGCATTACTTTAATCCGGGTACTTCAATATTCGGAATAAATTTATGCATAGATGGGATGTAATTTTCATACATTGTTCTAGAACGTTTCTTTAAAAAAAATTCTAAATGCTAAGTTAGGTACTTACTTTTTTTCTTCTTTTATCCCCCAAAAAAACATCGATACAGGATAGACAATAAGAACTGAAATAAGAAGAAAAAAGGATTGAATTGTATAAAATACGATTATTTGTATAAAAACAATTATTTCTTAACCTAATAAACTGGATGGTTTCTAAAGTGACACAATGAGCAAAAACTGCGCAGTGGGGGAAACACTTCTTTTTTATGACAAACCGTAGAAGGTTCTTTTAGGAGGTGGTGATTGTCTGGTAGATGATCTGTAAACAAGCCATCACAATTTTGTTCCTCTGCCGATGGAATGGCTCCCGCTTTGTTAGCCTGACGATCTGCGTGGGAAGTCGATTATGGTAGAAAAGTTTAACAACAACCAATACTAGCCACCCTTGGTCAATTCACAGGCAACAGATCAAAGAAGTTATCCAATCTCTCGCAAACTGCAGATAGACATGCTTGAGTTAGATGATCAACTGGAAAACATCTTAAGACACGTTTCAGTAGATCAATTCACTGAGAGACGAAATCCAACGTATATATAGATTTTAAGGTTTCAAAGACTGTGACGTCATAAAATAGCATCGTATATTGAATAAAATGCAATTTTTTTATACTGTTGTGACAGCAGTTATTCATGACTGTTATATGAAATTCTAGGCAGTGTTTTCTATATAAATGAAGGAAAATGGCGAAAAATGTCAGTTTGTAAGAAATGTCTTGTTTCATAAAAACGAGAAGTGTTTCTGATTTAATATTTTAATCTTTCTGCCTTGTTTTATAAAAATATGAAAATTTTTTAATTTATTCATTTATTCTGCTAATTTACATCCATTAGAAAAAATCTCGCTACAATTGTGATTAAAAAAATTAATAATTTTTCTAATATTTATACTTTTTTTCCATTCTAAATTTTAATGTCGAAGAAGAAAAAAAAACGGTCATTTATAACTGTTAGAAATTTAAAACGGTCAAAAAAATAATTATTTTTAAAATTCAGGGACTCACTAAAGACGGAGAAAGCTTCTTCACCTAACAGTTATGAATTGAATATTATTAAAAATCGCTGTAAAANATTTTCTAAATTTTAATGTCGAAAAAGCTTTATTTTAAAAGTTTCTTCACAAAAGAAAAGAAAAACGGTCATTTATAACTGTTAGAAATTTAAAACGGTCAAAAAAATAATTATTTTTAAAATTCAGGGACTCACTAAAGACGGAGAAAGCTTCTTCACCTAACAGTTATGAATTGAATATTATTAAAAATCGCTGTAAAATTTTAAATACTTACAAATATCGTTTGAAAAGAAAACAGAAATAAATTAAAGTAGTTATTTACTATTCACAATTCTCCTTATCGCACAGGACTAAATTTCCTAGATTTCCACAGATTAGACAATAAAACTGAAAAAAAAAATAATAAATACTTTAGTAAGCAAGATCATTGGATTTAGCAATTAAATAAATGAAGACGTCAAATATATGTATGGTGTTTCATGTGTTATAGATTTCTTGCCTAAAATTTATGCAAAAAGGAGGTGAAAAAATTTATATTTAAACGAAGTAAAAAAAATAATAACAGTTAAAATTGCTGAACTTCGAAATTTTTAATCGGAAATGCACTCATCAGTTATCATTTATAATAAAGTTGAAACGATATTTTTGACCATAAAAATAGCAGCACTTGGTGTGAGGAAGGCAGTGAGGAAGGAAAATGCAAGAAAACATTATACAACATCCAAATCACTCCTCTTTTATTATTACTCTCATTGTCATTAGAATACGCACAAATGCATTAAAAAAATTAAATTATTAATATATTTTTATAATTAAAATTAATTAAAAAATTAATTAATTAATTAACAATTAATTAATGTAAAAATTAATTAATTAAATTAAAAACTAAAATTAATTATAAAAAAATTAAAATTAGCTAAAAAGCTTCTTTGTTCATCCCTACCTAGCGCGGCACTTTTACAAACTTCAGATATACGTAGTGGACCTAATTCAAAATTTTTAAGGCGATTTCCTGCCTTCCACTTATGAAAGGCTTTAACTTTTCTTTTTTTTTATTGAAACGGGTAACTGATAGAGAAAGGATGTAACTTTTAATATTTAGGCATATGATGTCTGCTTGTATTAAATTTCCAACAAATGGTAAATTTTTTTTTCTTCCTAGGTACTAGATTTTTTCTATTAACTTGAATAAAAAAAATTCTTTCATCCTGTTTTACAAATTTCATGAGGAACTTGTCAGTCGAGTTCTCTACCTCGTTCAAATTAACTAGAGCAGAGGTTCCCAAATTTTTTTTTTCTCGTTGACCACTTTCGAAGTTTTACCATTTTCGGTAGACCCCCTGCTGCTACATTTCTACTGTATTCCCAAAACTCCTAAAAAATATCATCCTAAATTGGGGGTGTAAAGAAGAAAAAAGTAGCACATTTTCTTGTGTCCTATTTATTAAAATAATACTTTTGGTTATGCAAAATTATAAACATTTATTTATTGCAAGCAATCAACAATTGCCAAAAAATCAACAATGAACTCTGTAATGTAAATCAACAATATAAAATAGTCATACTTCTAATGAGACGAAAGTACTTGATGAATTGACAGCAAATTATCAATATTTGGCTTCAGTTTTGTAAGAAGTAATCTCAAATCTCCCCGTTCTGTGATGTTCAGTCTGCTCCTTTTTTTTTGTTAACAGGTTGGTAACGGCACTAAAACTTCTTTCGACAAGATATGACGAGAGAAACGCTATCAAAAATTTTCTAGCAAATTCCCACAGCCCAGGATATTTTTTGGGGATTTCTGCCTGCAGCCAATATGTTTGATAGTCTTGTTTAAATTTCACCTTCAGTTCCTCGTTTGCGCTGAGCTAAAGTAGCTCCTCCTGTATTACCACATTCGCCTCTTCCGTTTCATAAAATGGGGTTATGATTCATAGTGGTATTTCCATCGACAGAATATCTTTAAATCTATTTTTGAAGTCATCATGCAGGGTATTTAAATGCAAGCGCGTGCACGGGCGGCACTTTGCAAGTGTCCACATGTGGTGTACACTTGTACTATTATCTATTGTTCTATTCAATTCTGTGTTTGAACTGAGTCTCGAATATTTTTGAGTACCTACCTAGTGAATGATGCTACCTGCCTACGTTGATAGGTAAATCTAAGCCAAAATTTTTGTTCTTGATTATGAAAACCAGAAAATTTTTCGTGGACCCCCACTTAGAACTTGTGAACCCCTGTTTCCTTTTCACGTCTACGTGGATCCCCGAGTGGTCTCCTATGGATCCCTGGGGGTCCACCTGGACCACTTAAGGGAACCTATGAACTAGAGCAATCAAATCTCTGCTAGAGCTGAAACGAAAATGCAAGTTTTAATCATCGAGTAGAATTCATAGCGATTATTCCCTTAAAAAGGATTTGTGATGGTTCACATCTCAAATTTCAATTGTTTTTTGATGGCGACAAGCAGCACAACTAATACATGATCTTACGAGGCACCATTTTTTGACAAAGGCAACAAAAAAAAATACTTAATAAATAACTTATAAAAATGAAATTACTAAAACCTTTAAAGCAATACTAATCAAGTGGAATAAAAAGAAGAAAAGAATTTTGACAGATTTAAAACGGGCTTATCACTTTTGTAATCAGTTAAGAATGATAGGCTTTATTTAGGAGCAACAAAAGTAAATCCTTCTTCTTTTAGTCTATTTAAAAAATTATTTTATTTAATTTTATTACTCATGAACCCTTTATAAGGACATTTCTTTCTTCTCATTTTCGGTTGGTAAAAAAGAAATTTATCAGCTTTACCAGAATATATTGGGAAGCCACCATTTCATACAACCATGTTGTGCTTTGTGGCAAAATTTCACACGCTTGAACATTTGTACTTACGGATAACCGAATTCTGTGTTTTCAAATAAACTCGATGAGAACTAATCAAATGAACTCCAAAGAAAATAGCTATATACTGCTACCTTTGGCATTTTCTGAAGTTATTCATTGGGTGAAAAATAGATTCCCTCCCCATTTCAAAAATTGTGAAGATCCTGAAGAGTTTTAAAAAACGTTACTTACGTTTTTGCCGTCATCCCCAATAGCAAATATAGTTTGCATCCAATTTTCTTTACAAGCAATACAAAGCCCGCCTTTGAAGAATGGATGTTTGACTTCTGCATCTTCTTTACGGCATGCGATGCACATTTCTAAGGAGAAAAGTTAATGACCTTCATTGATTGCGGGTTTCATGGTGCAATTTGGGAACACAATTGATTGCGGGTTTCATGGATCAAACTTTATTATTCATTCATTTTGAGCTCTGCATACGCAAAAATATAAATGACTAACTTTTGATTTAGAAATAGAATTTTCACACACAAAATTGCAAGGTTTGAGAGTCTAATCCTGGTTTGATTGCGGCTTTCGTTATGGTCCGAATAAAATTTTATTAATCATTCATTTTGAGCTCTGCATACGCAAAAAAATAAATGACTAACTTTTGATTTAAAAATAGAATTTTCACACACAAAATTGCAAGGTTTGAGAGTCTAATCCTGGTTTTATTGCGGGTTTCATGGTGGTCTGAATCAAATTTTATTAATCATTCATTTTGAGCTCTGCATACGCAAAACAAATAAATGACTAACTTTTGATTTAAAAATAGAATTTTCACACACAAAATTGCAAGGTTTGAGAGTCTAATCCTGGCAAAAATTAAGTTAGGAATTTATTTGAATAAAAATCAGTTTAGGAGACTCAATTTAGGAATCGAGGACGAGTAGGATTCCTTATGTTAAATTCACTTTTGCATGTTTTGACAGTATTTTAATTTTTCTAGAACTAGAGGTCCAATTCTACGCATTATTTGGACTTCCTCATAGGATTCTTCAGTTGTGCATCTGAAACTAGAACAATTTTTTATTTTATTTAACACGTTCACGCCGGGTGTTGCGCCTGAAAGCGGGACGGAAAAGAGAAAATACTGGTAGAAGAACTATTTCAATATTAGATTATATTCGGGAGGAGTTAAATCTATTCTCAACAATAACAATTCACTGTGAGGAAATTTATCACGGCGAAGAAGCAATTCAATATAAAAATTGCATCCGTTAAAAACAATTGGTAGTTATGGATCTTTATCATTCCCGGAAAAAAACTAAAAAACGAAACTTATTTGTTACCAGTTTTTACTTCCGTGCGCCGCCCAATGAGACAATCTAGCGTGACCCACCGATGGGTCACCACGGCGTGAACGTGTTAATTACTAGATGAAAAAAGAGGTTGTCCACGAATTAAACGATGCATGGAGGAGAGGGAAAGGTTGCGATTTGGGGTGAGTAGTAAAAATAAAAAACTGGAAAGTGCAATAATTTATTTTCATGATTTTTTTATGAAAATAGGTTACTCATATAATCATTATTATTGTTATGCGCACAAAACATAAAACACAAGAGTAAAATTTTAAAAATAAAATTTAATATATGATCTGTAACGTAGGGCTTTGTTTCTGAACTGCAATTATATGCTTATACGGAAAGGGAAGGGGTAATTCTTAAAGAATGGTTTTGTTGTAATCTGTCTAATCACTAGTGAGGAAAGCATAGTGAGAAAATTTTAAGACAGTTAAATTGAATCATTAAATTTGCCGTGTTTTTAACAAATACGTTTCAATTTCTCTGTGTCTTCTCATGAAATAAAAAAGGTTTTGGTGTTTAGAGTCTCACTTTCCTCAATTATGATTTGTCTTAGGAGCTACTAAGACTCAGGGGGAAAATGCGGTGGTTGGAGTGGCTTGATAATATGTTTTTCTTCATTTTATAGGTTTCTTTTCATTCTATTGCTTCGTGNTATTAATTTAATTTTCAAACTACATTTCAGCAAGTCAGTTAATAATGAATAAGGTAAAATTTAATGGGTGAATTTATAAAGATACATAACTTACTCTCGATATCTATCAGCCCATTTTCAATTTTTTCAAAGATAGGCACACCAGAATTACCTAAAGAAGGAATTAAGACATTTCTTTTACTGTTATACAATAAGATAAAAAGAAGAACGCTTAAATATTTCCTTGATTTTCTTTAATTGTAATTTATATTTAACTTACAGTATGTTCTACAAAGACCACAATTTTATATCGATGGCGATTTAAGCAAAAATATAAAAAGTGAAAAATAAAACTCCATTGAATCACTAAGGAAAGTGGGGTTAAAAACATCTAAGCCTGGAAATCAAACTTTTTTTTAAGTTTTAAACTCTACCTTCATCAATTTTGATTTGACTGATTGTAATTAAGTTTCTGCTACTTCATCGTTCAAGTATGCGACTGCATATATTTATATATTTTGCTTTCAGTTTCAAAGAAGGAGAAAAAAGAAGAAAAAAAAAAAGATTTTTAAGACTAGGAAATCATTATGGATTCATTACGGAAAGGAACACCTTTTATTTTCATTAAAAAAATGTTGCAAAAAATACTTAATGACTTAAGAGAAGAAGAAAGAAAAAAAAGACTGTGAACCTTTTGAAAAATTCCTTTTTAAAGTAAATTCTTATCACGAATAAGTCAGGAAAAAAGTAGATGAACATATTTAAACTTGGAAGTATCGGTATATACGCCAAAATAAAAGCAAAGATTTGACACATTTCGGGACCAGGAGAAACTTAAACAAAACATCCTAGAAGGACTGCAAAATCCCCTTGGAGAAAACAATTGGAGTGAACAGATACGAAAAAAATCCACCTTAAAACTTGCGAAATATTTTATAGAAAAAGTGATTTAGTTTCTTCCTCCAGCAAAGGTTGAAATTACTTTGATGTCCGATTTTATTTTGATTGATTTAAATGTCTGATTTTACAAAAAATCCTTTCAAAAAATGTATTTTATTCAAATCAATATTTAAGCAATGAAAAAATCGTTTCAAAAAATGAATTTTATTCAAATCAATATTTAAACAAAGAAAAACAAAATATTTTTTTTAAAAAAAATCACCACAGAAGGTGACAAAATTAAAAATAACAATATTTGTTTGATTGCCAAATAAAATAGAGAGGAAGTGTATCACAAACACCTTTTTCAGGATGATTAGGGATTTTTGTTCACGAATTCTTCACTCGCGAATAAAGAAGAAGTGTATAAAGCACGAATAAAGGTAAAGGAATGGTCATATAGTTTCGTTTCAAAAAAAGAGTTCCGAAAAGAGCATCTGAACACCGAATGACAGAAGAAAAGTAACGAGACTAACAAGTGTAAAATTGCCAGTAGGGAAAGAGGAACAAGCTTGCATGAGATAATAAAAGAACTCAGAAAGGGTTTGGTAGGAAACTCAAAGATTAAAAAATATAACAATTAAATTAGTACATTTTCCATACATTATAAAAATATGGAATTTTTCAAAAGATGGAATGGTTCCCAGAGATCAAGGTCGGTCGATGAAGAGCAGTGATGAATGATTTTATCAAGAGAAAACTCAAACTTCGATTCAGATATGTATGTAGTTAAATTTATATTAACTTACCAATTCATTTGGAATCAGCTGTGATTCATTAATTTTAGATTTGATAAAGCTTTAATAATTTGAAACCTCAAATGTGTAGATAAATTTGGAACAACAAGGAATTGTAAAAATATATATGGAGGATCGGGATCAAAATAAAATAGCATTATGCATAATGCTTACCTTTCGATTCGTCTTCTGAAAAACCTTTTCCCAAATCATTTCGCTCCAATTTCTTCAAGACCATATCTGGAACGTCTAAAAAATAAATAAAATAAAAATCACAACTTTGAACTTTTTTTTTATTAAAAAAAAAGAAAGAAAGAACATTTTATACCATTGCTTTCTCGAATTATTCCCTCAAAATCACTTTTTGCCCAGTTAGTAAGTTCTTCGATATTTTGGTAGTCCAAGTTGCTTCTCTGCGCTAACATCTGAATGAAATACGAAATTTGTAAAATAAAACATACTTTCAACGTAACAAAACGTACTCTGAATAAATATTCCTTTTTTTGCGTTGGATTCAAATTAATAACCTTCAAAGTGGAGGTTCGAAACTAAAAATATGGTCTGAGTAGTTTGGTCTAAGCTATTGGTAGTATATAGTCCAAAAAAACAGAATCCGTCGAAAAAAAAGGGTATTCATTCAGAGAAAGTACGTTTTTGTGTGTGATTTCGTAACTTAAAATATCGTCTCTAAAAATCGTTTCTAAAATATCGTCGAAATGCAATCACGAGTTAATATTTCGTAAATAAATTTATCTTCGAAATAAAATATCCGTCTCTACAAAACTTCTACGACAGTGGTTTCGCGGAAAGAGCCGAATGATAAGAATTTTTTTTTTAAACCAGTTATTATTATTTCCATAACATGTAATTAAATTTTAATTCAATTAATAATCCATTATTTGTTTAATGTAATTAAATTTCAATTCAATTAATAATCCATTATTTGTTTAATGTTTTTAACGTTATTTTTATGAAACAATTGAAATGAAGTGCCTGCAATGAAAGAAATTTCAAGAAAATGTTTTTTTTCTTCTCAATAACAGTATAATGATTGAATTATAAAAAGGATTTGCAACCATGAAAAATCCCATAAGTATTTCGCATCAATAAAAATAACCTAATTCAACAATGAAGAATTTAATTTCCCTGATAGAATTTCATCTCCCTTAATTTACATTTAAGAATTCACTTAACTACCACTCACCACCAAAAGTGCAGCTTTAAATGTCAGGTGGTACAATCAACCCCGCTTGAAGGAATACCATTGGTGCTTTATTCAATCTTAAATTATACTTTTTTGAGAAATTTTACTTTTTAATTGTATTTAATGCATAATGTAGTTTTTTGATTAACTAAACTCCACTTTATGATTAATTAACAATTGTAATTAAAACTGTCTGTGTTAGCATTATAAAATATGAATGTTATTTAAAATTCATTGGTGTAAGCTAGAGATGGGCAAACTACAGCCCGCGTGCCAACTGTGGCCCGCCAAAGATTTTATCCGGCCCGCGGATAGAATTTTTATCTGCCGATCAGTGGCAAATATAAACAATATACATCCATTTTCTTGTCGACTATGTATAAAATTATTTCCGCTTTTCCTTTTTTATCAAAGTACAGATGACATTTTTACTTTCTCTATTTTTGTTCTACCAAACATAAATTCATGGAAATAGTTAGCAGAGACAGCTTCAATTGGTAAAATGTTAAAAGCAGAAGTTCTTTATAGAATAGCCGCAGATAGGTTCCAACTAGCGTTTGTCTTTCTCGAGGAGCTGACTTATGGAATCTGATATAGGTAAATTTTACTTCACATTTGGCAGACTGCGCATTTTGCGCTTCAAAGAGCGGACAATGTAACAATCATCTGAAGCAGTTGTTTCTATATATGCCAAAGTTTTACAAATCATTGCCGAAAGCTACTTTCCAAAATTTAATATTTCATGCCCAGAAAATCAGTGCCATGTTTGCTTAATCTTATATACGTGAACAAGAGTTTTCAACTATGAACCTTAGAAAAAATCATTTCAGAAATAGACTATCAGAAAAGAATTTAGCCCTGTTCCTCAAAATAAACACATCTCAATTCGAACCTTAATATAAGGAACTTTCAAAAATGAAATCGCAAATTCCTTCATGTCACTAAATATTTAATTTAAAACTTGCATATCAATTTTTCTTTTTAAATTTTTGAAGTTCTTACTTGGCCCACCAAACATTTTTTTTCTTGATTTTTGGCCCTCAAAAAAAGAATTTCGCCCGTCCCTGGAGTAAGCAATGATTATTCTATTTAAAAGAAAGAAACACTGAACACTGATGTGTTAGGTTTTTGAAACCTTTTCTTATAAACACTAATGGCGCACTGTAGGAAGGGACTGCAAGTCTTGACCACAAAACAGATCACTCTGTACTTTTTTTTACATTCTAATTGTGGTGTGAGTGAAGTAATTCAAAGAAGGGTAAAACCTCTTTTATTTACTTCGTAATAAAGGAGGTAAATAAGAAGGGTAAAACCTTTATTTACTTCGTATATATTTACTTCGTATAAGAATAACTGCCAGCAAGGTTAGATTTATTCTTTCACTATACCCCTAATACCCATGTAGAGCAACAGATGAACAGGAAGTCCCAATTAAAAAAGAATCACCTATTGTATTCTTATTTTATTAACTGAAAAATGGAAATTACATTCTACCTGGTGAAACATTTCTTAAAAATAACTTTTTTCTTCTAATCTTCTAATTTTCTGCAATTAAGCGGGGAGTAGGAACAACAAGTATCCGTTTAAACGAGGAAATTTAACATTAGTTTAATAAGTATATATTGGTTTGCTTCCGGTTAACTTTATTCGTATAAGAGGATTATTCGATTATCCGATATGCAAATAAGTGGAGACGTATGTAATATTATTTGACATCAAAATTACGTAAAAAATTATGCATTTTGGACCACATTTTATATTTAATTCCTGTTAAAGAAATAAAATAAAATAAATACTTACTTCTAGAGCTTCATTCACTGCCTTTAAATGAGTTTCCTTGATAACTCTGCCGATTAAATCGGCGTAGCCAGCAGTAAATTCGATGATATCTTGTACGGATACCTAAAGTAAAAATAAGCTTGTATAAATATTACACTGCCTTTTGGTTGTTAGAATAATCCCTGTCAAGTAATTAACACGTTCATGCCGGGGTGACCCACCGGTGGGTCACGCTAGATTGTCTCATCGGGCGGCGCACCGAAGTAAAAACTGGTAGCAAATAAATTTCATTTCTCAGTTTTTTTCCGGGAATAAAAAAAATCCATAACTACCAATTGCATTTAACGGATGAAATTTTTTGATTGAGTTGCTTCTTCGCCGTGATAAATTTCCTTACAGTGAATTGTTATTGCTAAGAATAGATTATCTCCTCCCGAATATTATCTAATATTGAAATAGTTCTTCTACCAGTATTTTCTCTTTTCCCGGCGTGAATGTGTTAATAATTGCAAACAAATATTTCGGTTAGTCGGAAAGTATTGAAAGTAAGAATCGGATGTTTAGTGAATAAATATTTCATATTTTTGGCAGTAGCATAATAATTACACAAGCATGAATAAATATTTCATACCTTTTACCATATTTTTGGCAGTAGCATAATAATTCCACGAGCATAAGAACTGATCCAGACGATTTCGGATTTGCAGACATTTGATAACTCATTTCTCGTCGCTTCAAAAATGGGTCTTGCATCACAAAGCAATTTCTTTCCAACGTAGAGAATAAACCTTAGATGATCATAAATGGTTCAAAAATGAGTCTAGCATCACAAATCAATTTCTTTCCAACTTAGAGAATAAACCTTAAATGATCATAAATGGTTCAAAAATGGGTCTAGCGGCACAAAGCAATTTCTTTCCAACGTAGAGAATAAGCATTTGACATAAATGATCTCTCACGAGTTGTATTTTGAAATAATTAATGCCTTGATTGCTTGAAATTTCGTTTTGGCACTACGTCTTCTCTTTCCTCGCTTCAATTGTAACAATAATTTTGATAGTATATGATTGTGGGGAGTAAAATTGTGTTTGAAAGGGCAGAAAAACTAAATCAATCGAAAATTTTCACTCATATATGTAGTGATTATGCGGCTTAATTCAGTTCACTCGGCGAGACAATTAACTCGTAAGTTAGAAAATTACTTTCGGAATAACCTAATATAAATGGTCGAATCAATACTAAGGAAACGTTGAATAAAAATAAAATTAATTTTCACATGGAAGCGTGTGTAAAATTGTACCCTCTGTTTTCTTCAGCGAACAAAACCACTTTGATGTTTTGAGTCCCGACTTCCTTATTGGGAATCATTAGATTCCAATATCGTTATATACTTAAATCGCATTCTGCCCTGTCGGGAAATTAAAAAAAAAAATCTTTGATGTCGAACGTAATGTTTGAATAAGATGTTCAAATAAGAAAAGATGTTCAGATAAAAGTAAGAGTTTAAATAAGAGGTTTTATTCCACATTGTTATAATTATTCGATACTTCTACCATCGACCTCCGACAATCTTTGACGTTTTGAGCCTGATTGTTCCAGTTACTTTTTTCCACCGGCAAAACAAATGATGTCACGCCTTCCACATTGGGATTCGTTTCACTTACATATTAATCCGCCAACATGTTTCACATTTTTTAGTATGAATTCTAAAATTAAATATTAAGGGCTCTCATTAACACTGTGAAAATTGAGCCTAGTGATCAGTAAGAAATCAATTTTTAAAATTCATTAGTTGTATAATAAAAGGCTTTTTGCTGAATTGAAGTAAATAAGATCTTTACGTAACCGAATTCTCTGCAGTTATTTGAACATAAAAGCTTCAAAAATAAACTTATTCAAAATAAAGTTAAGAAAATACTCACTTTTGATATTTTGTAGTCAGCAAACCAATATATCCACGTATGGTCCTCCTCGGGTGGTTTCTGATAACAATCCGAAAAGCGTAGGGTGATCGCTGGCCACCATTCTTTATCACCACTTGACTCAGACACCACCCATACTACACATCCAATGGGAATAGTGGTAGCCTAAAACAAACAGGGTTTCATTTAAAAGAGAACATTTGAAAATTTCAAAACTAAATTTCACTCACACTAATTGCCTGTTGAGAAAGTAGAGACTCGTTATTTTTTCTTTTTGTGGAAGACATTTTTCCTGACCTCTGTAAGCAAAATACGTACAATTATCTTCTTATACATACATAATGAAATGAAGAATTTATGTGTCAGAAGACTCTACAAATACGACATTTAATGTGAAGCTAAATGAGTACAATTGTAAACAAAACTGGATTTTTGATTTTTTAATTATATTTTTGATTCAGGCACATTTAAAAAATGAAATTTTTTTCATTGGTTTAGCAGAAGCCTATGTTTTAAAATAAACTATAAACAGTTTAGTTTTGTTGAATAATTTAAAGATAACATCACTGACGTTTGCTAATCAAAATGGTTGTTCATTGCGCTTTCTATAATAATTAATTATTTTTCATCTTTGGTAAATCTTTGGTAATTTGAAGGATCAACGTCACAGCATATAGTGACCTATTAGTATTTTTAAGGTTATCTGAAGTCACGTGTATATTTTTATAGTTAAGCTTTTAAATCGTGTTTCTGTAAAGCTAATTAATTTATAATCAACAGTTATTTAAATTGAAGAGTAATGATACTAAATTATTGTTGTTGTCAATAGCCAATAATAATTAATTTTTGTAATTGAATTAAAATAATAAGCCGTGTACTGAAAGGCAAAATTAATGGCGATATGATACTAATTCGTTTAAAATATCGTAAAAAATTAACAAACTATTATTGACGTCAATGATGCTTAATTACTTGTGGAATAAATACTAATTGAAATGAGGAAAAAAAGCTCTGGTCTTAAGTGCAAAATTAATGGAGAAAGTGCACTTACTCGTTACGGGAGACCATAACAAGTCCCCATACTATTATTTATACTCAAGGGCGCCGGCAGAATAATATGAAAGGGGGTGCAACCCTCTAACAAACACCCCCCCCCCTCAATTTTTTTTAAATACTTTTTTATTACATTTTGTTTTGCTATTACATATGGGGCAATCCATACAAAATTTACACCTATGATTCAAAAATGATATAATTTATTTTTTTTATTGTTCTTCATTGAAAATAAACCGACACGTATTTTTGCGTTTTTGTTTAAATTGCATATTTTTGACTATACGAATTTTTGAAAATTTCGCTTTTTTGAGCACATNATTGAAAAATTTAAATAGTATCTTCCCGTTTTAAAAAATAATCAAAGAAGAATAAAGAAATGAAATAAAATTTTTAAAAAAAAGCGTAATACAACCAGCCCATAAGTCCCCCCCCTTACCCTTCTCCTTACCTCAATGATCTAATCTGAATTATTACAGATAAAAAGAATATTCATTGTAACAGCGAGAAGCATCCATGCTGCCCAGAAAGCGAGAAGGGAAATATCCCTACAGATTTTCCCTATGGAGGTACCATTTTTACCGGGACCTTTTTTTCCGTCTACCGACAAAAAGTAACCTGCCATGAGATGCTTGAGCCAGATGAAACTGTTAATTTTTATCTTGATCGGATGTTGTTTAATCTAATAACATAAAAGCACGAAGAAAGGTAACAAATAATAATAACTAAACAAAAAACATTAAATAATTTTAGTTTTATTTATTGCGTCGGTATTTGTCTTTAAGTTTTGTTTTCGATTTTTTTGTGTTGTTCAGTACATATTCAATTTTTGTGTAGTTTATGTTTATTGTTTTACCCCGGACGAAGAACAGGTATTTAACTAGTAAAGAAATAATACAAAGCAAGTTTTACCAAACATTGTGAATAAAAACTAATAAAAAATAACGTGAAAGGAGAAAAGAATAAATTAAAGATTTATTGCAGAAAAAAAAACTGAAATTTTTTCATTTAATTAATCAGAAAGAAATTTTTTTTTTATATATAAATTAAGTTTAAAAAGTATTACACGTAGTCGTTTCAGCATGCTTCTTGATATTATACTGTTAGTTATTATTTTTAAAGTTAACTATTATTTAATAGTCGTATAAAGTTAATTATTATTGTTATTGATTTTCATAATTGCAAAATTTTACCACTTTATCCTTTTTAAACTTAGTTTTTAAAATGAGTTAAGGGCTATCTAAGATACTATAATTGTATACTTGGTATATAACCTAATAAAAGAGTGCCAGTTACCATAGCAGTGTGAATATAATGGCGGATTATGAGCAAAATTCGTTAAAAATAATCTGTCAGAGAAATGAAAGGAAGCTAGTGAAGATGTTGAAAGATTTATGCATTTCCTGTTCCCCCAATGCACTTCCTCTACCCCAGGGAACTTAACTTTTTCAAGGACGTTTTGAACAGAGAGAAATCTGTGCGCATTTTCTTTTAGATTTCAAATTTAGGGTATTTTAAATGAATGAAAAATTATTCATTAAATTAACAACAACAAAAAAGTACTGTAGTTTTTCGAAGTGATAGATTGCTGCTGCATAATTGGATTAGTAACAGGATTAATAAACTCTCAAAATCGAATATTTTCCAAATAATTTCGAAAATAAGATTTAAAAAAATTTGTGTTTTGTGTAGAATTAGAAACAAGAGGAAAATTCTGTTAAAGAAATTATAAGCTGAGTCAAACGCTGGAGATTTCTTTTGGAAATAAATGCTGTAACATGAGGATAAAGACAACGCTTTTTTTAAAAGTAAAATTTACTAGCGATATATTTTGTTTTCTGATAAAAATGTTAAAACTTAAGCTTGTGATGGTTTAAAAAAATATTTTTAAAGAGTCATATGTTTTTCTTACTGTTGCCACTTTCACTGCTTTTAGTTTTTTTACTCGAATTCTTTCAAGCAATAGCAATAATTATACCTATTATTTTCCAACATTCAACAACTGTTAAAATTCTATCTTATTTGAAATAGGAAAATTGATTTAAAATTTTTATATTAATAATTTTTTAAAACAAATTCCAATAAACGAAAAATTGGCAAAATAGTTTTTAAATGATAACAATATGAATTGTTGAAGTACATTTAAATTCTTCATTATTTAGTTACATTTTATTTACTTTTTTGTAGCATAGATAGTTTTAAATTGCTTACAAGTGTAAAATATTGAAAGGTTTTGCACAGTTGTAAAATTCCTGTTTCAATTGTTTAATTTAAATTAGTTTGCATCCTGTAGCTATAGGTGTAATTTATATCTGAAATTAATAACCTTTTTTTAATATAACAATCTTATAAAAGTCTGTGTGTGGATTATTTTTTATGTTGCATACTTGTTTGCTTATATTTTCTAATGCATGAAATCAATTTTCTTGCTTTTTTCTTTTGGCAAAATAATTTTTGATGATCTATGTCAGAAACTTGTGCTTGATAAGAAATAATGAGCATTTATTTTCTAATCAAACACATGTTTCTGACATAGTTAAAAATAAAACTACAATTAAAATTAAAATAAACTCGAAGGAACCAGAAATTTTTTGAAATTGTATTTTTTAAGTTTATAAGAAAAGAAGCTGCATTGTTCTATTTGTTTAATTTTTTATATTTTTGCCCATTACAGTAAACAGGGCGCAACACCCTGCTGCCCTTTTAATCAAAAGAATCCACCCTGTTGCCCCTGAAGTAAATTAGTGCCCTGAAGTAATAAACTCCATATCCTTTTTGTCCTTTCTTTCCTCAACCCTTCTTTATTTTCAACTCTTCTTATTTAGTTTGTCATTGCTGTCAATACATAGATTTATATGGGAAAGGAAAAATAGTGCACTTGTCTTTGAAAGTTTGCAGTTACTTCACTATCGTTAAATCATTATTATTATTAATCATTTAAATTTTTAAATCATAACTACAGACACTTGAAAACATCCATTTATTATTTTATTAATATATGCATGCATTTTAAATAAATTATTAAGCTAATTAGCTTTATAATTCGATATATATATGTTAATTTATTAATAAAATTTGTAATTAATATGATTGCTTTGGTACTTTTAGTAAAGTAAAAAAAAAACTGACAATGTTTTTTAATAAAACATGTAAAGCCCATAGAAAGAAATTATTGCCTTTTTAGAATAATAATGCCTTTTTTTTTTAACTTTTGCCTTTTTTTCTGCCTAGAATGAGCTCTGGCATCAGCATAAACTGATTTATTCAATATTTTGATAATGAATTATAAACTAGTCCTCGTGCTTAACTTTAGATGAGTTGGAGTAATGTAGCAGAGTTTGCAAAAACCTGTATTATATGTACAGTCCGCAAAAAAAAAAAGATATCACCCTGAATAACTTTCGTTCTAANAATTATTAAATCATAACTACAGACACTTGAAAACATACATTTATTATTTTATTAATATATGCATGCATTTTAAATAAATTATTAAGCTAATTAGCTTTATAATTCGATATATATATGTTAATTTATTAATAAAAATTAGTAATTAATATGATTGCTTTGGTACTTTTAGTAAAGTAAAGAAAAATTGACAATGTTTTTAATAGAACATGTAAAGCCCATAGAAAGAAATTATTGCCTTTTTAGAATAATAATGCCCTTTTTTTTAAACTTTTGCCTTTTTTCTGCCTAGAATGAGCTCTGGCATCAGCATAAACTGATTTATTCAATATTTTGTTAATGAATTATAAACTAGTCCTCATGCTTAACTTTTGATGAGTTGGAGTAATGTAGCAGAGTTTGCAAAAACCTGTATTATATGTACTTATAATCAGGGTTTGTTGATTTAAATCATGATTTTTAAAAAAAATCTAAATCAACTGATTTTTTTAGTATATATATATATATTGATTTAAAAAGTTAAAAACTGCATTTTTAATCATCGATACTTTTAGTATTTCTTTTCTTGGTTTTAAAATTTATTATTGCTGCATAAAAAATTTATTATTGCAGCATAAAGATCTCATAATTTAGTAATATGTTTTTTTAATCATATAATTTATTTTTTCGTGTATTTAGCTAATTTTAATTTGTTCATCCTAATTTTTTTGCGAAATTCAGATTCAAAAGGCATAAAAGAAAGATTGGCAATCAATTAATCAAAGAAAATTAATTGAAAATAATAAAATGTGAAAAAACTCATTTGGTGTGTAAAAGATGGATTTAATTGGACTGAGC